AGGCTATCATTCTTTCATCCTTTGCCGCATACTTCCCTATTATCTGATTCACCACTAGTTGTGAATCAAAGAATATTTAGAGCTTCATTGCCCCCAACTCAACTGCCAACCTTACTCCAGCTATCAAGACTTCGTACTCTACTTCATTGTTTGAGGCTTCAAATCCAAGCCTGATGGCTTTCTCCAAAGTAAATCTATCTGGACTTACTAGAACAATGCCAATCCTAGCACCTTTATGATTTGAGGATCCATCGACAGATAGGGTCCAACCACTACCGAGCTTTGACTCTCGGTTGCAAGTAGTCTCTTCACTCTGCGCTGAGCTATCCTTAGGTTAAAATTCTGTGATAAAGTCTGCCACAACCTGGCCTTTTATCGTCTTTCTTGGTTCGAATCGAACGTCGAACTCCCCTAGCTCCACTATCCATTTAGCAACACGCCCCGATAAATTGGCTTTATGGAATAGTGACTTTAGCGGTTGATTAGTAAGTACTATGATTTGGTGGGTTTGGAAGCAATGAAGGGGTTAAACCTCATGATTACACGTGACATGGCATTAAATGTGCTCACGTGATGTTGACAAGATAAGGCACGTGATGAGGAATCTTCTATTAAGCTTTTTAACCAAGCCAGCGAATTAAAGGTTCGACAATGGCAGAAAAAACTTGGTTCTCTTTATGACTGAACTCATCAATCTGTTCAGCTAAGTAAGGAAAGTGCTCAGCTTGTACCAAGCCGAGTTCACTAAAGTGTTCGAGAAGGCGATAGAAGAATATGGTTTGTACCAAACCAAGTCCCTAAAACTATTTGGCAAATATCAAATGTGCTCAGCGTATGACATGTCCGAGTTGTTCAAAACGATAGATGAAAATAAAGATTCGCCTAAAACTTAAGCAATCAGATAAATGAATCAACGAAAATTTTAGATATCAGGATGAATTGTTGGAGAAATATCAGTACCTTTCCAAACTGAATGACTGAATTGAAGGAGGGTGTGTCCACTTTGAATCAAAAATCACGAAAACCCTAAGGGGATGACCATCTATAAAAAAATGAAAGAATCCAAGGTGAAAGGTACACTGAACTCTCTGAGTCTTCTTCGATTCGTTTCATTATCTCTACTGACTTAAGTATCGGAGTGCCTTCGATCGAAGCACTTTAATCTTGGGCAGTTTGTTCGTTTTGTAGGAAGAGGAAGACTAGGAGATCAAGTTCAAAAATACATCAATATTTCAATTCCAATAGGAGGTATATTTGATTTTTTGACTCTTACATTTGGCGCCATCTGTGGGAAAATTTCCATCTTTTGCAACAAGAAGCCATAATGTCTAAACTCTAAAGTGCAATTAGATCACCTAGAAGCAGTTTCACCTTGGGAGACTCTGATCCTGCATCCATCCCACCTGGTAGCAACACGTAATTTTAGGCAAGAGGAAGCCCTTCTAGATCCCATGAAGGCAAAAGATGTCCTCTACCAGTTTCAGGCCCTTGAAGAATCAAAACCATCAAATTCAAGATCGTGGTGAATCCCTCCGTGCCGTGGGGGAAAACCACTTCCTGGTAAAGTTGGTTCAGTCCCTGCAGGATAGACTTGATGCTCATGACTAGTTGTTCAAGAAGTCTTATGCCAGGAAAAAATATCTGATTAAAGAAAACGAAAAACTAAAAACCAGGGTAAAAGAGATGACCAGGAAAGAGAAACATGAGAGGGAAAGTCATTGGGAAAGTCCTGAAAGGAAAATCGACAGATACAGAAGCAACAATGAAGATCGTCACCATCAGAAGAAACCTCAAGTTCAGGAAGAGGTTGCATGGAAACAGTATATTACCGAGAAACTCAACAACCGCTTGAGGAGACAAATAGAGGTCGGCTAGGGATCTAGCTAAAAGAGCGACAGGAGAATATGGAGACGGTTCAGAGTCATCTCCATTTACAGTTTGGATTGAAAAGGGACGGATTCCAAGCAAATTCACCGTCCCAAACTTCAGACTATATGATGGGAAGACCGACCCAGCCTCGCACATCAAAAATTACAGACAGTTGATGACCATTCATTGAAGAAACGAGCCCCTACTCTGTACTATCTTCCCTAGCAGTCTTGGGGAGTCAACCATGAAGTGGTTTGACAGCCTACCGAAGGGAACGATCGACGGGTGGTCTCAGTTAGCCGAACAGTTCGCAGCTCGATTTATACGAGCAACAAGCAGTCGAAGGATGTTGGAGCATTACTGACGCAAAAAAAGAAGAATAATGAAAGCCTGCAAGAGTACGCTCATTGTTATTGGGAAACTATGAATGAGGTTGAAGGGTGCAATCCAGAGATTACAGTTGCGTCCTTCAAGATCGGGTTGCTAAAGGAGAACCCCCTATATCAGTCGCTCACAAGAAGGCCAGCAACAAATCTGGAAAAGCTGATGTCTAGGATTGAAAAGTATGTCAAAGTCGATGACGACTTATCCAGGGATGGGGTTAAAGAACATCCGAGCAAGAGACAGTTTGGTAGAGACAAGCAGACTGAGCCAAACAGAGAGGGTGGAAGGAAGAATGAAAAGGATGGATATCCTCAAAAGTCCCCATTTTTGGGAATAAATACATTGTTCAAGGAACCAATATATAAGATACTAAGCCAGATCAAGACAAAGCCATTTTTCAAATGGCCGAACAAGTTAATAGGATATCCTTCTAAAAGGAATCCAAACTTCAGGTGTTTATATCACAGGGATGTGGGCCACATGACTGAGAACTATCGATCTCTGAAGAAGCATTTAGAGGAGTTGGTCCAGGCTGGACATCTCGCCGAGTTCATAGAAGGTAAAAAAAATCTAATGGAGGGAGGACCGAGTCAAATGGGGACCACAACACTCCAGCAGGAGTGATTGATGTGATCCATGCTGCCACCAACCTGCAGATGTCCACAAATAATTATGCTCGGGCTTACATCCAAAAAGCTGTCAATGAGAAAGAGGTGTGTGAGTTGTGGTTAACCTTGGAGGTAACCAACAAAAGAATCAAGATAGAGGAGTCAAATGAAGCAATTTGTTTCACCGAGCAGGACTTGTTCGGAGTACACCAACCGCACAATGACGTCCTAGTCGTTACACTTCGGATTACGAATTTTGATGTAAAAAGGGTGCTGATTGATCCGAGGAGTTCATCAGAAATCATGTATTCAGATCTATTTGAGAAAATTGGACTTAAGAAGGAGGATCTTAAGCCTTCAAATACTCCACTTATTCGTTTTAGTGGAAAAACAGTTCTTCCTAGGGGGAAGATCACATTGTCTGTAAAGACAGGACCAGTTTGCATCATGACTGAGTTCCTGGTAATGGATACAGTCTCGGCATATAACGTGATAATAGGGCGGTCCTGGCTACACACAATGAAGGCGGTACCTTCGACCTACCATTAGATGCTAAGATTCCCTTCAGCTGAAGGAGTAGTCGATATCCGAGGAGACCAAGTCAGTGCCAGAACTTGTTTGTTAGCCTGGGTCAAACCCAAAGGAGGGCTTGAAGCTCGCAAGAAGAACTCAATGTCCGAGGAGGCGAAATGGCAATTAACCTTTTACAGCTCGGTTAAACCAATCGATCAAGCTATCGAGGAAGGCTCTAAAGTACCTTTATGAGCCGAAAAGGAAGTTACGGACCGAACAATTGAAGACTTGACTAAAGTACCTTTAGACAAGGATGGACAAACTCACAATCAAAACTTCTCGTAAAAACAACCCGCTTGCTTTGAACCTGTGCAACTAAAAAAACAAAAATAAAAAAAGGGCAACAATAATTACGGACTTTGCAAAGTTGTTATTCAAATAAGTTACCCATAAAGGAAATCATCATTCCAAATTAAAGCAAAACCAAGTTGTCCAAGGTCAGGAACTCAACAAATAAAACCCAACAAAAAAAATGCAATTTCCACACTTAGGATCAGGGAAATTAAGGCATTGGAAATGAAATTAGCAAAAAAAAAATACACTTTCCACCATGTAGTCGTATGACGTATGCAGAATACAATATTCTCTCCATTCAGATCTATCTTTTAGCAATATTAAATCCAAAACTATCAACCAAATTAAGACTATTTAACAAAAAAAATAAAATAACAAAAATGAAACCAAACATACCGAAAAGGATGCATACAACATACCACTCATATTTTCTGGTAAGGGTGGATTCTTTTTGCTCAACTTAGGACAATACTCCCCAAGTAACCGCTCGCTCCCAAACAGGGAACTGCCTGTTGATCCCCAAAAAAGAAAAAAAGGAAGTAAGAAGCAAGAATTAGAAATGGGAATGAAATAAGGCAATCAATTAAAAGTCAAAACCCACATGAGAGCAAGCTGACATTACTCTATGTTTGCTAGAAGACCGGTGTCTTAAGTTACCAATGACCCTATGTTGGTAGCAAATTACTTTTCTTACAATATTAGATTGTCACTATTTGGTAATTTTCAAGTTATTGAGAGCCAGTGTTCCAAATAAACTACTTTTCAAAATATTTAGCATATCACTCAAGGGTTTTAGTCCCTGCTTAGATTCATTTTCTGGATCGAATAACATGATGTTCTTTCAATCTGCAGAGGAGCAAAAAAGACCAACTGCTACCACCCCCCAAAAGGACCCCACTGCGACCACCACTCATAACCCACTTGCAACACCCACTGTGACCATCACAGTCGAACTGCCACTAACACCAAAAACCCCTAAAAATTGTCACCCACTTCCACCACCACCACCCATAAACCCTACAAACCCAATTTAGTTGTAGATATAGGAATCCTAAAAATCGTAGCCCACTGCCTCCACACACACACACACACACAAACAGAGATCAACTGCAATGCCACAACCACCACCAAACCCCGAAATCACAAACCACTCAAAATCATCTTCTATAAACCCACCATGCCCAACACCCCCAACACATCCATCTGAAAACTACTCCCTTAAAAGCCATCTCCAAGAAATCATTTGTAGATATTTGGGGCTTTTCTGACATCATGTTCTTGGATACTATTGATGGCATACAAATCCATCTTCTATTGAGGTTTTGTCTCAACTGGGGTTCTTGTGGTGGTACCGATAGTGCCAATGGAAGTAAACTGAGAGAGGGGCATAGGGGCAGGATGGCAACAGGGTGGTATGCTTGGGGTGGTATTTCTTGGGTAGATGATTATGAGATCAAAGAACAGGTTAACGAACCCTACTACCCAAACCAAGTGGCAGATGAGTGTGATATCAAAGAACATATCGCAGACTACCCAGTCGCATTACCCACAAAGCAATCTATCCAATACAAAATTGAACTTATCAAGTAGAAATAACCATCAATATAAAATTGACCTCAATAGTACTAAACATTAATATAAATACAACCAAACAACTCTATAAAAGAATGATTTAGCTTAGAAGAGGCAACCCAATTTTCGAATGCACTTCATCAATTAATATAAAAGAAATGATTTCCCAATTTCAAAAATGAACTACAGTAATCAAAACCAAGATGCAGAAATGCAACATAGAATACCAAGAAGAATACCGCAATCTTAGTTTGGAGGATCGGTGAGTCGGACTCGGTTGGTCTTTGGATTTTGGATGGCTTTGGTGCAACTCAAATGGTGGGGGTGGGTACTCGCATTAAGGGATGGCGCAGAAGGAGGAGAGATGGAGGGAGGGGGGTTCGTTAAGTGGGGGAGGGGTGGGTTGCGCAGAGGGGGTGAGATGGGGGGTTGTGTTGCGCAGAAAGGGGAGACCTTTGGGGGGGAGACGGAGAGAGAAGAGGGATACCTGGGAGAGGCGTGGTTGTGGCAGTGGCTATGTGTGCATGTGTTGTTTGTGAGAAGAAGGTACCTGTGCGACCTTTCATGGTTGAGCCATGGCAGAGCGAGAGGTGAGACCGTGAGAAACGTTTGAAGTGAAGAGGCAGCTAAAAGAAAAAGTCGAAAGGAAAATGCCCATGCCATGAATTTGGGGAGTGACCGTGCCATGGATTTGGGGAAGTGACCGTTTGTGTCTCTCACAATGGTTACGATGCCTGTGAGGTGAGGGAGGATACCATGGTTTTGAGAGAGAAAATATGTTGGGTATTAGGCTCAATTTCTTTTCTATTTTATTATACAGATTTTGGTTCAACAATCAGGAGCGTTCGAGTCAACTTACGCACATTTCAACTAATTTTTTTTCAATTTGATCAATTTTTCAAGGAAAAGGGAAAGTGGAGGTGAATTTGGTCCCTTGATCTCAAGAAGACAAATCATTCCCAAGACTGAATATGTTTGTATATCAAATACTATATAGGGTGATTTCCAAATTTTGCACCAAATTGTTGTGCTATTTTGAGTCAACAATTTCGACGTTGTTACTTCTTAAATCTTGTTAGAGTAATTTATAATTTATACTTTTTAAGTATGCACATAATTTTTATTTGGTACTTGAAATTTTAATTGATACAATTATATCCTCAAAGTTTTAATTAAGTTTCAATTCAGTCATTTTATCCATACCTAAATCCATATCTATTCATTTGTTCCGATAGAAACACGTTACAAGATTTGTCCAGCAAAAATTTTTTTCATATACAACAATATGTCTCTATTTGTCTCACTCTAAATCTTTTTTTGGGTTTTATTTTTTCAAAATATATGAAATAAAGTAATATTTTCTAGCCTATATATATCAAATTATTCACCAAATAAAAAGACCTATTTTACGTGAGTCACATGTTGGTCATTGAAGGTCATTCCGTCACAATGAATTGTTGAATTTTGATGTAAAAACTAAACTAAAATTTTATAAGGATTTGATTATTGCAATTAAATGTTCAATTACCAAAAAAAGAATTAGGTGCATATTTTAAGAGTTTAGAGTGTAATTTATCTTTCTTTTTCCTGTTCAATGATTCAATCTAGCATATTCACGAAAAAAAAATGTGAGAATGAGATTCAGACTTTGGCCTTTTGCACATTATGCATCGTTTCCATCACAAAACTCAAAATTATGACGTCATGGTGAAGTGTAGAACTTTTTTTTAGGGTTAATTGCATTGAAAGTTCATAAAGTATGATATTTGTCTCATTTTGGTCCCTAATATTTCAATTGTATCATTTTAATCCCTAAAATATTGAACATGTTTATATGTGGTCCCTTAAGTAGAGGTGTCCAGGTTGCTAACGATATCACGCAATACCTAAATATGGGCAAAAAAATAATTTAGATAACTATTGACTGAATTTCTATCCAAATTTTGGTAATAGAGCTGCCCAAATTATACAATTTGATCATGAGTTATCTAAATTAATTTTTTTTTTTGTATTTAGATATCATGTGACAAATTTATGATAAAAAATCGTTAGCAATCTGGATGTTGTCTGTTTGAAAGACTACATAGAAAATTTATTTAATATTTGAGAGATCAAAATGATGTAATTGGAAAATTGTGGACTAAAATTTAACAAATTTTATACTTTAGGACTTCCAGTGCAATTAACTTTTTTTTAATTAAACCAAAAAAAAAAAACTGCCCTTTTAACCAGATTTTGAATTAATTACAGGTGCAAAGAGGAAAATTATTCTAAATTTTAAATATCTAATTTCGAGTTATACAAAAAAACTGCAACTTTAGAAGGAATTTATACACCATGACTAGTGGTCACAATCTAGCAACCGTGGCAAAACAGGTGCAACATGTGAAACACTACGTCCAAATGCCGCTAAGCATTTAATAAGCTTGATATCTTTGATGATAATTGATACATGATATTTTTCTATTCCGACAAAAAAAAAAGTAAAACTTGGTAGTATTTTTTTAATACAAAAAGGGATGTATTGGAAGCTTTTTTTAAAAAAAAAAAAATTTAATCGAGAACCTTCTCAATCTCATGTTATTTGGACTCGAGGTTAGTATGGCAGTTCCGAATTGTGCATGTTTACGTGTAAGTCATGCATATAAGGTTAACTAAAACATTTTTTACGAGAATTAATCTTAAGAATTTGAGAAAAATTAACATCAGGGACCTTGCCATTTAACTACCCAGATAGGTTTACAAATGTTTTCTCGGTATTACAAGCAATAATGTAAATTTGTTATTTTTACAACACTATCTAGGAGTCCATGCAAAAGGGAAAGCTTTTTAACATTGTTTTTTATGGTTGTATTGATAAATTCATAAATTTACAAGTTTTAGATAAAATAAAAAGACAAGTTTTACATGTGTTTTAGTGGTTGAGTTTAATATTTTGTAATTTAGGGTTTTTAGGTTCAATACTTCACATTCCTTATATGGGTCAGTCATCCTTGTTTCTTAAGGGATTAGTATCTGAATTTGAAGTAGTAGTCGACGTAAACCTCTGTAACCAAAAAAAAAAGTTACATCATTTGGTCATTATTTTTTATTATTCTTTTTGTTCTTATTGAAGAAAATATTCATTGTAATTGTTTTACTCCGTGAGTATTGTCACGTAATGTAAACCATCTAGTGATAATGATAACTCAAAAAATGTGTAAAATGAATCTCACTCTTTCAAAACATCACCATTCATATAAGATATAGTAACCACCCCCTGAAAAAAGTAGGGTTTACTTTGTTCAGTTATTTATTTATTAGTAGGCAATTATACCATATAAAAATATTGACATGGTGAAACCGTTCCGTTAAATATTTATTAGATTTCTCACCCAACCTTTTCATAAAGGAAGGAGGAAAAACAAATCAACTTTTAAGTATTCATAACCATTTGTATTTAGAATGAGTGAAATTTTCTCGATTCTTTTTTTCACTCTTTCCTGGCAACCAATCAGAAACATCAAGGAAAAAAAATAGCACATTGGAATGTCATGGTTTAGTATAATTTTTTTGTGGGGTAGAACATACTCGGTTAGAGTGTAATCAGGGGAGGTTGGGGCCGGACATTCTTTGTGGAAATTAGGGCTGAGTCATTCTTAAGAAATTTATAATGAGTTTAGTCTGATAAGAAAATTTATTTGGGAATAAGTTCATTTTTAATCTTACCAATAAATAGTTAAGTCCATTATTTATTTAAAACTCCAAAATGCCCTTCTAATGACTTAAAAAACAATCGTCAACATTAAATCAATTTCCTAAATAATTATTCTTGATTCATACTTAATGGAAGATTTTTTTTCATAAAAACTGAAATTTAAATTTAAATTTAAAATCACTACTATTTCTCTCTCTTACTCTCTCTCATTTTTTTTTGTTGAGAAGGCTATGATTAATTTAATATTGAATGTTACTATGCATGTTACTATTTTTTTCTCGTGCATGTTATTACTTTTTGTTGAGCATGTTATAATTTTTTTGATGAGTATGTTACTAGTAATATTAAATGTCACTATTTTTCTAAAATATCAATATTCAATGTTACTTTTTTTTTTGTTGATCATGTTACTACTGTTATTTTTTTAAAAACATTAATATTTAATGTTACTATTTTTTTTGTTTAAATAATACTCTCTCATATATAGAGATGTCAATGGACCGAAGCAAGGGCGGGGAGTGTAGTATTCATCCCTGTACTCGCTTAAAAAAATTTCGTTCATTCCTGGTCCACCCCCGTTAACAAGTATAGTTTTCATCCTTATCCCCCGTCCGTGGGTAAATTTCTAATCCTCATCCCTGTCCCCGCTTCTGTCGTACCTGCCTAAACCCAAGCCCAAATAGCATAATCCAAAATTTTAAATAAATTCAATATTTTAAATAATTCAACAACATTTTAATATAGTCTAACACAATATAATGTAGATTGCAAAATATAAAAATCAAAACAATATAGTATTCTATTTAAAGTGTCATTGGACCACAAAAAGAGAAACGAAACAATTAAAGAGAAAGGAAGAAAAAGAAAATAAAATTGAACTAAGAAAACGATAGTACTACACTTGAAGTTTCTAGAAAATTTTTTGTTATTACAATTCATATTGCAGGCAAAAAGTGTTAAAAGATGAAAACTTAAAATTTCACTAATTCAATTATTCTCCTTATTTCTTAGTTCATTCTAGCAGAAAAACTCAACAACTTTCATTCACAATATTTCTACCTACAATGAAATGCAAAACTATCTTACTCTCTTTTATCTGTTTTTAGAGCATGGTCACCTAACAGTTTTAATTAGTGAGCACAAATAGAAAAAAGAATAATCAAGGAAAAAAGTTGATAAGATTACCACATAGTAA